GGGCTGTGACAAACTGTTTCGTCGGAGTTTCACCCTTCCGCCCGTACCCACCCGTATCGATATGCGAAAAATGGAAATGAATGCTCCCACCTGCCCGGTCTCATTCATTCTCATTTTTTTTTTTTTTTTTCTCTCTCTCTCTCTCTCTCTCTCTCTCTCTCTCTCTCTCTCTCTCGAGCGCATCGGTCTGACACCGCACAAGGCAGCGCGGGACCCTCCCGGTCGCGCCATGCAGGAGTTGGTCTAAATCCTCGTCGTGAATATACATGGAGCTTCCGCAAGCCGCTTCGGCCGAGTGCGCCAGCTATACCTCTCACGAGCTTTTACGACAGGATAGGGCCTACGCGAGGCACGGCTTACCTCCACCTTACGGGAACTGTCACCTTCCTTCGGTGGGTGTATGCCCGCCGAGCTACTAGTCCACAGTACGAAAGTTAATCAGTTGCAATCGCAGAGGTGGACCAGCCGAGGGCGTTTCTCGTTCGCTGTAGCATAGGGGGTACGCGCGGTATTACGCCTCTATCGAACCCGCACACGAACCGGCATCTTGGGGGGCTGAGGTCCCAAGCGAGACTCGTCGTCGGTCGACTAGGACGCATCCTTCATGCCACGCGCACACTACTATAAAGAACATAAAAAATAAAACGCACGCACACGCACATATACATCTACTGAATGATACTGAACAAACAACGCGACAACACTCCTAGTCCCTTAGTAGCCATCCCATAACTTTCCAATGCGGAAATCAGATAGGCGTCGTGCGCGAGACGTAGTATAAAACCGCACGGACGCAGGGCTAACTCATATCGACTCGCAATGCAAGCGTACGCAAGCGGTTGCAATGATGACCTACTATGTAGTATCCATACTTATGCGGTCCTCGTTAATATCGAGGGTCGCGTTCGACACTCAAGTGTCGGCTGACGCGCGCCTTGAGGGATTGATCTCTCGACGTTGGACAACCGCCAAGTGTGGTTGGAAACCGCACCCTCTCCTGCACCCTCCGGAGAGTGGGTGGTACACAGGTTCATACATGTGGTGACAATCGTCTCTTGTAGCCTTGCACACCAGGTACCATCCAGGGTCTGGAACGAAGTCAAGGGGTTTGACTTTGACAGCTGCCACGGACTACAACGTCCAACTATAAAAATTAACAAGCAAAATCACCCAATAAATAAATAAACATCCCAACACTCATATGTTAAATCAGGACCCGAGATAAAACGAAAGAAGGGGGAAAACATAAACTCATCCGGTATGCAGATCGTGCGACACATGGTTGTCATTCTCACTGTCTCCAAAGTATGGTCCATATACGAACCTTCAAAATACTAACCTGCATAAAACACAGGCATACACCAATGTGGTCAACTTTATTGTTCCTTGTAACTCACACCACGCCTCATACATTCAAGCCCCAGTCATAGTTCAACTCTCCATAATCTCATAAGTTCTTTATAATGACCATTTAAAAAAAGTCTGGTTAAAACCCTCAAAAAAACATATCAAATCACAGGGCTAAGGCAATCAAGCTGAGGTACAGGTGTGAGCAAAGTTGTGTCGTCAGTCGACAAGTCGACGATCAACCAACCGACCTGTTATCAGTGATAACAGAAAATGATCCTCGTAGAATCAAGCTGAAACTAGTCCAAATCCTGAATCGAATGTCCAGAGGACCTGTAACACAAGAAAGGTCAATCCCCAAGCTAGAATCATAAGTGTATGAAGGATACAACTCCATGCCACGTTCTCACCCAAGATCCTTCTAGTTGACTAAGCCTGAATCTACCTTTAAACAGTGTTCAAAGCAAAAGCAGACCCTGGCAAAATCTCCCCTATACAGAATGGATCGCCAGGATCGCCACCTGTTGAATATAATCTAACTTCTTTAAACTAAGAAAATTTCGGCAGCGCTTCCCGTAGGAAAAGTGTCTTTCCAGAATTTATATAAGCTCAAATATGAAAAGTAAGAAAAAATCCCTAACTCTGGAAAGTCGAATTTTGTCTAACTCTCTGAATTAGTAAAAATTTGGGCAGCACTCCCTTTACAATGGGAGACTTCCCATATTTATACTAAGTCAGATTTGAACTCAGAAACAAACTTGAGTCCAATTTAGACATGATTTAACTTCTTAGTTTTGCAGAAATTTCGGCAGCACTCCCTTTAAAAAAGTGTTATTCCAAAATTTATACAAGGCTAAGTTCAAAATTTGAGAATAACTTTGACTTCTCAAAGTCCAATTTTGTCTAACTCTCTGAATTAGCAAAAATTTGGGCAGCACTCCCTTTAGAAAGCGATACTTTCCAATTGTTTACTAAGTTAGATATAAAGAAAAGATAAGTTGAACTTTGACAAGTCAAAAGTTGACTAACTCCTTGGATTTGTAAAAATTTCGGCAGCACTTCCCGTAGGAAAAGTAACTTGCCAAGATTTATACAAAGCCAAGTACAAAAAATTATCCCAGAAAATGCAAGAATTGACCTAAGTAGAAAAAGTTACTACAGAATATACAGGAGTGAACCTAACTCTTATCGCTCTAGCGCGTGGCGAGCAACTAAAGCAACTACTTATCAAACTGAAACCCAGACCAAGTAGTAACTTCATTCACCCACATGCAAGCCAAACCACAAAGGTAAGTACTCTCACCAGCCCAGGTTGATCTGATCAAACAATAGTTCATAGTCTTTCAGTGATATAACGCTTTATACCCAACTTACATAAGGCATAAAGCCAAACCACCCAAACTTATGGAATGCGCCTAACTTAGTCATTGACTATACACAAAACAGAGGGTACAACTACTTCTCTCTTCTTTGGGCATATGATTAGACCATTCTAGTCACCCTAAACTATTTAAGATATCCAAGTTATATATAACTCTCTAAAACTTAATCTTCACGGTGGGCGTAGGACTGAGCCATTCATCTTAGAAACGAAGCCCAGTTGGCCCGATTACTTTCAATTATATTATTAGTTGTACTCTCTTCAATTTACGATAAGCTACAGTCAGACCATCCAATCTTATGGAACCCGTGTCTTACTGACCTGTTTGTTATAAGTTAGTAATAATGTATAGTCAAATTATAATATTGGGTTCCAGCATGTGCGAGGCCTTGAGCCAGACCCCCTGAACTTACAGAAGGATCTAACTCTCTGTCAGATTCATTTCTCTCCGAACCATCATGTGTGTAGCAAAGCATTGAGTCAAACCCTCTGAACTTACAGAAGGGTTTGCCCCTTTGCCAAAGATTACTCCCTCAGAATAAAAGCAGGAAGAGACTGAGCCACCTGAACTTACAAAACAGCCCGGCCCCCTCGTTCAGAAACGAGGAAACTTAAGAAAACCCAAGAAACAAGGCAACTCAGGGTACCTACAAATATAGACCGCCCTGGGCTCCTGAAAATCAAACACAATCAAACCCTCGCAAGTCAGAGCAGTCAGGCCACCTAAACTTATAGAGCGGCTCAACCCTCTATTCAAACTACGACACTAGGTCTCCCCAAACTTATGGGGACATCCCCGCCTCCAGAGTAATCAGACCCTCTAAACTTATAGAAGGGTCTGACGCTCCATGCAACCCCAAATAACACAGAGCACTCGGCCTCCCCAAAGTTATTGGGACCTCCCAGCCCTAATGACCCAGTCATTCATCATGCAAATCAGTTTTTCCTCCTGCCCTTCCCAGATGCAATCTCTTCCAACAATCTGCTTTCACACAATCAACAAAAACTTAAGGTTGAGATTGGACAAACATTCCTTTACTTAGTCTGGTTCATGTCCTGAAAGTCAAGCTGAACGTCAACGTAGGGATGCACGCAATACGCTCAGTCAACGCATAGAGAGAAGTACAGATATGGGTTATAATTGGGTTTATAAAAGGGAAGGCAATGGATACCTGTCAGTTCCCTGCCTCCAGAAC